TACATAGTAGTAAAAAGTATCAAATCCCCATAAAATAACTAAAATCATTATTTTTCATTTGAATCATATTATTTTGTTGAAGCTAAAATTTAAAATTCCGATAAAAAAAAATTKTGCATAGTTTGTATGTTTTAGATTTTTTAGTTTCTGTACAAGAACAAATTATAAGAAAACTGGTATTCAAACTTAGCTTTTAAAATTTAATATTTTTAAAAATTTAATCTACCTACAAAATTTATAAGTTTGATGTAATTTAACTGCAAACACATGAATATTGTTTGTTACCTTTTCTGTATTATTTTATSTTTTCTATCTAATTCTTTAATCACTTGTGTTTATTGTATGAATCATAGTAAACCAAATTTTTGAGTATTAAAAATAAAACAATATGGTCAATATTTCTAAAGTAAAAATATTAGCATTCCATCATATATTCTATGTAAACTTCTTAAAAATATGCAAATGTTTCTCATGATATTGTATTGTTTGAAAAAAAAATATTAATTATTAGCGTTTGTAATTATTTTTTTTATTTTTTTAATGGATTCATTTCCATTAAAATGATTCCGAAATGATTTTACCGAACTTATTTAAATATTTTAAACACGAATATTCGCGTATAGAATATTAGGCTTATTGAATAACTATGTCACTATGCGAGGTTATTACATGTAGTGTATACCTTTTAGGTATTCTCCATAAAATATTTGATAAAAACAATACTGTCAGCGTAAATGAAGCCAATAGTAATCAAGTATATTATATGGTACGTAAAATTGATATCATGATATCCTGTTACGCAGCCATTTTGTATCCGATGATAACAATCCGAGCCTATATGCAATAACCAGTTAATAACTTGTATAATATCTCAACCATGAAAGGAATGTAGGTACTATAGGAAGTAGGCCCATTTTATACCATGCACGATTATGATAATCGTGATGGTGCCGTAACTATATTACTATAGTGCCCTGAGGCAATCATTTTTCATGCCTCTATTCACCAAATGAATATGAAGTTTGATAACAGTTCTTTGAAGAAGTGAACATTTTAAATAAATTTAAATATCGAACAAAACTACCAGCTATGCCCGAGAAGACTACTTCATCATGAAAATACAAAACAAACCCTGCTTTACATGTCTAATTAATTTATATTATCAACCATAACTACAATGAATAGTTT